TTGATGGTAAGAAAGGCCTGAGGATGCTGAGTAGCTAACAGCAAAGACTGAAGTTGTACTCTGCCTAGGTTCAAATCCCAGTTCCTTACTTATTAACTGTGTGGCCTTGAGCAGGTTATTTAACCTCTCCATCTGTAAAAATGGGGGCAATAATAGTGCCCACCTCATAATGAGGATTAAATGAGTTAATATTTATTAAATTCTTAGAACAGTACCTACCATTAGCAAGTGTTGTCTAAGCGAAGAGTGATAGAAGATTTTAGAGTGAATGGGGCTCATTGATAGTACCAGATTTCAGAAACAGTTGGAAGGGGAAGGAGTACAGGAAATGACAGGTATAAAAGTGAGAAAGAAGGATGCATTTCTTTTAAGACTTTGCTACTCAAAGTTTAGTCCTCCAACCAGCAGCATTGGAATCACCTGGGAGCTTGTTAGAACCCTAGTCTCAGGTTCCACTCCACACGACTCAAATCAGAATCTGTATTTTAACAAGACCCTCAAGTGACTTGTATGCGCACTAAAGTTTGAAAAGGACTATGTAAGAGATAGAGAAGAGATAGTATAGAGTAAACTTTTCCCCAACCTTGCCCATTGATGATGTTAATAGCCAGCAAGAGTCAATGTGTTATCACACTAAATGGCTATAAAATCAACCAATTGTAAAGAATTTTGACCTTTTGGTCAACTTCTATAGCTCTGATGGTGATTTTATATATGTAGGTGAATAATTCTATATTCATAGACTTAGCTTCTATCCTTATTGTTCTTAAGGAACTGACAGCCAATGGTTTGGCAGCCAGTGGTCTTGAAAATTTTGAAGTGAAGAGGAGGGAAGGTGAGGGTTCTTCAGTAAGATGGCCTCAAGTTTTCTGGTAAACGTGGGAACATAGCCTTCCACCAGGAAGCAGAGAGGAAGTGGTGACACAATGATGAGAGCTTGAGGAGAACAGATCAGCGTGTAGTAGCTAAGTAACACTGAGGGCCCAGCCCAGGTGTGTTAATCTAGAGATCCTGCTCAAGAATTTCAGAGATCAGGATGTTACTGGACTCCTCCTTTTAGATGCTGGAGGTGTGATGAAAAGAGTAGTAGACTCAGTATCTACAATTCCTGGATCATAGATTGTAAGATAACTAATGTGGATGGTTTTTAGTGATGAGAAATAAATGCAGACACTAAAAATCAAATAACAGTCTCATAAGAATTTCTGATTCTTCTAATCTTGAGTTCCAGCCCTCATCTCTATGACCTTGGGTACATCAGTAAACCTAATCAAGACTGTTTTCCCATGTGTCGAACAAGAATAATATCTGTTCTATCTAACTCTGAGTTGTTTTAAGGCTCATAGAAGGAATGTATGTTCAGCTCTTTGAATCATCACCAGATAACCCTTCTGGCTAATTTCATTAAAAAATTAACTCCATCTATTGTGATCTGTAGCTTCTCCCCTAGATTTTACTGTTTCCTCTCTTACCTTTTCTTCTTTCTCCTTTCTCAGATAATGAAGGAGCCTACCTCTTTCTCAACATCTGTATACTCTTGAGTGTTAAAACAAAAAGTTGAACATTTTCAGTTATACTAGAAACTTAATTTCTTTTTAAAGTTTCTGTTGGTTGCCTGGGTGAAGAGGCTCACGCCTGTAACCCTCGCACTCTGGGAGGCCGAGGCAGGAGGATCGCTTGAGTTCAGAAGGTCAAGACCAGCCTGAGCAAGAGCGAGACCTGTCTTTACTAAAAATCGAAAAAAATTAGCTGGGCATGGTGGCAGATGTCTGTAGTCGCAGATACTGGGAGGCTGAGGCAGGAGCATCGCTTGAGCCCGGGAACTTGAGGTTACAGTGAGCTACAATGACACCACTGTACTCTAGCCAGGGTGACAGAGTGAGATGCTGTCTGAAAAAAAAAAATTCTGTTGGTTTACCTTTTTTGCCAACCATTCTACTGATCCTCTAAAATTCCCTATTTACAAAGTAGAAATTGATGTGAAGGTTGCTCTTCAGTATCACTTTACCTATTAGTTTGGAAGTAATTAGCACATAATTTATCTTATAAAAATCAAGCCAAAGT